AATGGCTAATAAGGCCCCATTTGGCAAACAAAAACGTTTCGGATTCTTGCGAGAATAGGTAGAATCACTACCAAACGGGTTAGATGAGAAACATATCACTTGAGAATCACTAGAAATGTTTTTCTTTTTTTGCCTAGCAAGGAGAAACGCCTGTTAGCTGGTTTCGCATGATTCTGATTTTTACTTCCCTTCTGTATTAGAAACAATAAATTTTTAGTTAGTTCCTTATAAGTGAAATAAGTTTAAATAGGTTGTATTAAGTTGTTCTTCGCCCACAAAAAGTTCTGATTTTTTTAAAATATTTTTATTTATATAGTTTTTATGGTAAAATATTTTTTGAATTGGAATCTAGTCTACCATTCAAACGGTTTCACGAAGAGATTATGATTCATCACTAGAAACATTTCTTGAGAGGATCTAGATCCGAAATATTTCTTTGAGAATCTAGAACCCTACCAAACACACCCTAAATTACAATGGATGTATTATCATGTCTGGCGATCTGCAGTGTGGCTGCAACCAGATTTATAACAGAACTAATTGACCTGCGTCGTTAGTCCTAAAACACTATTATAAAAGAAAAATAGAAGACAAATAAACATATGTCTCTGTTAATTATTTACAAAGACAGTCGCCTTACAATGTCGTCTCTACCAATACATGAGCAGTTATGGCCTTCGTAAATGATGAATTTTATAGGTGGGCAGTGATGACAGTCTTAAAAAGTCGATATTTAAATTAAAAGTCGATATTTAAAAGTTTCATAACTTTTTCGAATGAATTTGGATGGAGACAAATTTTATACTAAAATTGTACTCGACAAGATCTCCAACTTGTATTTGACAAGTTTGATTTGAAGCCATTTAGAGTTTCAAATGTATGTTTTAAGTTCTCATATTTTAAAATTTAAAATTTAGCATTTTCAAACGACTTTGGATGTTGACATGGTCTATATGAAAGTTGTAATTGTCAATGTGATCTACAATTTTTTAGTTGACAAGTTTATAATTTGGAGTCATTTAGAGTCCCAAATATGTGTTTTAAGTTCTAAGATTATAAAATTCAATTTTTAGAATTTTGAAATGATCTTAGACGTTGACATTGTCTATACTAATTATAATTGAGAAGTTTTTTATTTGAGATCATTTAGAGTATCCCATATTAGTTTTAAGCTATCAGATTTTGAGATTTAGGATTATAAATTTTTAAACAATCTCGGCCGGAGACACGATATATGCCAAAGTTCTAGTTCTCGGCACAATCTAAAAAATTGTAGTTAAAACTTTTAAAAAAAATCTTTAGAGGTTAAAATATCCAAGACAAGATTATTAAATGTTAATACAAACGGATAGCACACTATACTCACTCACAAAATGAGTTTGTAGTGGTGGTTAAAAGGGATCGTTACACAAGGCAAGAGGTCACATGTTTGTATCCTATAATCTAGGGGTGTTTGAGATTTTAGAAAATGTCTAGAAATGGTTCATTAATAAAAACTTAGAAAGAGATGAAGGAGGCGTCCCTCTACTATATTGTTCTAGCTGATGATCGGTGAACGACCAAGTGGCACCACAGGACAGCGTTGCACGTTCACCACCAACCAAACCCTTCCATTCATTCATGTCGACCGCGGCGCCTAACCAAAGCGTACTTTCATTTACAAATTACAATCTTCACTTGGGCGCACCAGGTGGGCATGCATCACATGGCGCAACAGTCACCCAATGCTACACCATTTGTACGCACGGCACGGGCTAGTAGTAGTAGGTCGTCGAGCGATCGAAGGACCAAGGCAACAAGGACCGGCAGCCAAGATCGTCGGCACGCGCGGCGGGGAATCCCGATCCACGCAAGCGGCATGTGCGCCGGGAGCCTGCGTGTCACACTGCACGGGCACGGAGGGAGCGGCAGCCGGGACGGATCGGAGATGCTTTTGGCCCGGCTCGAAGAATAGTGGCGGGATTCCGAGGCATCACGACAAGAGAGCGCCCCTGTTTAACAACGTGCGTGCAGCGGCCCGTCTGCCCAGGAGTCAGGACGGATGATGAGCTCTAGCTAGCTACTAGCCACATGCAGAACTGTTCAGACCACGGACGGGCCATTGGGCAGTATTGTATGATACAGTTTGGTGTCCATTTTCTCTAGAGGGTCCATGCCGGCTAGCCATAGCCATAGCTAATTGCATCATTGCTTGGGACTTGTCACCAAGTTTACCATTTCTCAAGGGTTTCATGATGTGTTTCCCTCGAGCTTGCCATCTGTTTCCGTTTGCACACTAGACTAGACCATTTGGGAGATATTAGGTGGGATGTAGACACTATACTCGTAAAAAAACGACAAATCTTTTGTAGTGCCTCAGATAGCTAGCTGTGCTAATGATGAGCAGATGTATTATATCTATCGCCCTTTCGCCTGTGCCGTGTAGGCCGTAGCTATATGATGTTCGATTATAAGTTGTTGACCTTCAAATTAACAACAAATTCGTCTTTATGCTTTCAGTTTGAAGCCAACCAGCCAGCCTACTACGAACACCTACTGACACATATGCTTGTCTCACAAAGATCATCACAACTGTGTGCATGCATGGCGCAAAAGGTCACTTAAAATTTATTTTAGATAGATGTCTTGGACTTAGACCTGAGTCCAAACCCCTAAGGAAAACATGCCTGTCAAGCTAGCTGCTAGCCCCACATGTTGCCTTAACCACCGCTAAAGCTCCCTAAAGCCTGAACCATAACAATAAACTATTGCTGATAAACCTTATCAGGGGTTTGTTTATATATTGTAGGCGGAATAGCCATTTTGGCTCTGAACTATTACTCTTGAGGCTCAATTTCATCCCTAGACTTTTAAAATGCTCGTTTCAGTTATCAAACTCTACTTTTAGACTCAATTTCATCCGAGGACTATTAAGATGATCATTTCAATTCTCAAACTTTGTATTTTGGGCTTAATTTTATCTATGAATTATCAAAGTGCATTTCAGTCCTCAAACTTTTATTTTCAACTCAACTTTGTCCATCGTCCTACTATGAACACTGCACTGTTGAGCCTGGTTAGCTCCAGCACCACCGATGATTGGAGATAAAAAAATAGCATTCATCCAAAAACTCTTTAGTTGCCATTAATAATTCTAAGTTGTTATTTTTAATGTTATATCGTTTATATATATCCAACAAAATGATTTTTGTTGGAGCAATTATAGTTGCTTCAAATGATATTTATTACATTAAGAATGCATAGATATATTGAAACAATAGTAGATCTATAATTTTTTCCTTAGGTACTTCTAGCGTTAAGCTCAACTAATAACCAATTCCTTGTTAAAAAACTTATAACCAATTGTGAATTAAAACAATATTTTTTATCCATAGGCTAAAAAATAATTCATATTTAAGAATATTTAGATCTATATTTATATTCATTTTAGAAATGGATATAAATGTTGAAGTGTGCTACCTAACGATCACTATTCATCTCAAATCATGGGCAGTGTTGGACAAAGGCCAAAGTTGAGCCAAAAAGAAAGTTTAAAGACTAAAATGCATTTTGATAGTTTATAAATGAAATTGTGCCTAAAATATAAGGTTTAAGGGCTAAATTGGTCACTTTGATAGTTTGGGGATGAAACTAAGCCCAAAATAAAAACTCAAGGACTAACGTGGCCATTTTAAAAGTTTAGGGACAAAATCGAGCCTTGTGCGATAGTTGAAGGACCAAAATGAGTATTCCGCCACTCCCTCTAGTTTGTAAATACTTGACATTTTGGACAATGCAAGAAAATTTAATTTGGGTTAAACTGCTAAAAAGTTTGCCTAAAATTGAGCCTTATTCTAATGGACATTTTGGAGTAGTAGTTTATATAAACCTGAAGAGTGTATGGATATATTTGTCACATGAATTTGTTTGGATGTATATTTGTTTCTAATAGAGAAATAGTGGTCAAAACTATGTTTTGAGGACTATCGTTGTCCAAACCAGAGAATTTGCAAACTGGAGGGAGGGAGTAGATTCTAGCTAGAGGTAGGCCGGAAGCGCACGTACGAGCATCATCTTTTTCTGGTTTCCCTGTTCAATGCTAGGCGCAATCATGCAAACGTGTGCTTGTCTATCAGTGGCGAGCAGCGGGCGCGGAACACCAGCCGGAAAACTTGCGCCTTGCGCCCAACAGCCGGCCATTAGAATAACCCCGGTAGGTTCGCGGCCTACTAACCCGAGTACCCGACCGCCCTAATCATCGTGCTCTTGCAAGCCATGCCATGCATTGCGGGCGGCCCCATGCATGCGCTTTGCCAACTCCCATGTGCTCGTCGCGTTGCGCACGCATGCAGAGCAATATTCCATCCAGCCGCTTCACCCTCTTTACCCAGCAGCAAGGCCCAAATGTGAAATGCCAAGCACATCTGACATCTCCTAAGCATGAAGAACAATGTGAAATCGCATGAGAATTAACGGTGATCAGCCATCAAGCATCTCTGTCTGAACTGGGGTAAAGCTGTTGTCCCGCGAGCATGCTGCATGCATTTCTGTCAGTAAAAGTACCTGGTTCGTTAAGATTCACATTGACGCATTCGGTTCTTTTAGCTTTAACTTGTCTGCACGCTGCTACGCAGTGTTCGAGCAAGGACATGGAACGCGCGAGAACCGGCGGCCGGCCCACCTGTCAGACCTGTGCAAATCGGACCCAAGTTGTTTGAGCCTTTGTGAGCTCTGGACTTTGGAGCTTTGCTAGCCGCTCTGGACTTTGGAGCTTTGCGAGGATCGCGCCCTTTTCCTTTTAAACAAACGCACGCTTGTAAAGCTTGTCCTTTGCAGGCCATGGCCAACCCCTTCTACTTCTCCCCCTCTATATATGCAAAATGAACTCTTCTTCTACGGCCACATCGGCATTTCAGGTTTTCAGCACCACACGCACTGCTGCTCTCTGCTCCGCCCTCCATTGCTGCAACTGCAAGAGCTAGCTAGGTTGCTAGCTGAGCAGCACGAGCTTAGTTCCGAAGATGATCAAGCTGAGGTACCCCAAGAAGCTGTTCAGGAGGAGCTCCTCCAAGGGCAGCACTACCAGCAGCAGCGGCGGCAGCAGCGACGGCGATGCCGGAAGCGTCCGCGGCGGGGAGATCGAGTGGGAGGTTCGGCCGGGCGGCATGCTGGTGCAGAAGAGGGACGGCAGGGCGGACGTGGAGGTCATCACCGTGAGGGTCGCCACCGGCTTCTCCTGGCACGACGTCTCCGTTGTGGCTACCTGCACTTTTGGTGAGTACTCGTGCTCTGCATTTTTGCTGTTACTGTATTCATTTGCTCGCCAAATCTCTCGTATTTGTCCAAAGGAATCGAAAGCCATCTTTTCGTACATCGTTAAAGCTGTGTATCGATCGGCATTGCTATGATTGTGCGTCGATCGAGTTCACTTGAAGAGGCCCTGCCTCCTTTGTTCAGTCGTAGTTTGGTGCCTGATGGATACTGAATACTCAAAGTAAGAATCAGCTGTGCACGAACTAAACAGGTCAATACTACAAATTCACACAACCTATAGTTTTGTTTACACAGCCAGATCCACGCACTGTGTAACGGCATTGTTGACCCTTGTGAGTTCCTTCCTCACTCCACGAGCGGGGTCACCTACTTCAGCAATAAAATGAGTAAAATGACTGGTGAGTGTGTCACCCTCAACAACTCCACAAGCATGGCACTATATCACTGGCTTGTCTATGTAGTAGTAATAGAAAACACAAACAATGACATGGGCATGTCTACAGTCTGTAGTCTGTACAATTATCAATGTCTGCATAGCTAGCTGCAACTGCAAGTGCACGATGACGATCCTGAGTGGAACCTTCCTGTTCTTTGTCAGTTTGCCACCTAGTAGCTTGAGATGAGCTGTCACAATTGTGTTTGATTTTTTTTAATAAATATAATAAATATTTGTCGTTTCATACTCCTGAATGAATCAAATATGCGACACCCTAATAACGCGTGTCCGTGCAAATAAAATGATTGCAGGTGAGCTGAAGGTGGTGCTGTCCATGGTGACAGGGCTGGAGCCTCGGGAGCAGAGGCTGCTGTTCAGGGGCAAGGAGAGGGAGGACAGCGACCACCTCCACATGATCGGGGTGAGGGACATGGACAAGGTGCTGCTCCTCGAGGACCCTGCCCTCAAGGACATGAAGCTCCGGGCCGCGCTCGCGGCCCAGGCCGTGCAGAGCCCGTATCAGACTTTTATCAAGGTGTAGGCCGGCCCGGCCGGGCTCGGCCTGACGCCGCCCTAACTGATAGAGTAAACCAGTACCATTCGGCTGCTGTGCTCTTGGTCGGTGATTGCCTGCTGCTAATCAGTGCCGAGTACCATTCCATGTATGGTATGGGCAAAGGAAACGGCCCCCTTTCATGTGAGAGTTAGAGTACCACTGCTTGTTAGTTGTGTGTTTTCTCATTTGTAGGTAGAAATGCACTTGTAACTGCTGAGTGTGGCTGTCATCCTATATGCATGCTAAGCTTTGCTGTCAAGAAAATGCAAACTTAGATGACGCAGGCCTACTGGCCTAGCAAGTTCCACACACAGTTTCGACTCTGAAGGGCCTCCAGAGCTCCAACTGATGATGATTTAGAGACAGACATTCCTCCGTTTTGGGCGATGCCTCTTATTACAACTTCACCTCCTGCTCCTGGGTTGTACAGTTAATTTCGTCGGCGATAAAGAGTTCGATTGTCCTATATCCTGAGGCACTGACAAATTGATCGTCAGATGCTTGCTTCAAAGTCTAGGCGCCATGTTCCTACCATACCAGTACCAGTCCATGAAATTGGGTGTCTGGCTTTACATTTTCCACAGAACTGACATCTCTGAATTTACAGACCAACAGTCTAACGGACACTCAACTGTTATCTCTGTAGAGTAGATCAAAAGCAGCATAAACAGAGCACTGTTGTCCTGGTGGCATCTTATAGGAGTTACTGTATGTATGCATATACTCCTACACCGTACTACCAAATCTTCCCCTCTCATTCATGTCGATCGCTGCAGCTGCACCTACACAAAGTCACAAACTGTACTGCTAGCCTGGTACTAGTGACATTAATGTGGCGTGGCGTGACAGTCGGAACGCCATTTCCATGCATGGGATTATGGGAAGATCGTCGCCCCGTACGCCAGGGAATCCCGATCCACGCAAGCCGCATGTGGGTCTCCACCCTCGCGTGCCACGGCGACAGATGAGGGATGCTTTGGCTCGAAGAAAAACGGGGATTCCGAGGCGTAATGACAAACAAGAGCATCCTTGTCAACTTGTATCCTGAATTTGAACTTGACAACAACTTTTTTTTTCTAATATATGCGACCAGTAGAGGGTAACCCCTCCTGTTATTGTCAAAAAAAAGTATGTCCTGCACACGTTCAGCAATAATCAGCCTGTAGTACTAACCACATGCATGAGCCGCTGGCTGGTGAACTTCTTGGAAGCCAATCGCAGTTCGGACGCTGGACAATTGGATGCCTTGTGTCGATGATGACCAGCTGTTTATTTTCTATGGAGGATCCAGGTCTGCTTGCTAGCTAGTGGTACATTTGGGACATCTCACCAGGTTGATCAACTCATGAGTATCAATTATTTTCTTAAAAAAGATCGGAAAAGGTCTACTTAACCCCATAAACATTGGCGGTTGTCTACTTCACTCCATCATCTATAATATCATGTATTATACACCCTTAAAGTATTGAAAATCATTTAAATAATTCTTTATTTGAGGCGATTTTACTAACATGTCATATTACATAGGTGTTGACATTACAGTTAGCACATAACCTCTATCATATTAAGGTTTAACTACACAACCCCTCAATCATAAGACTCGATATTATAGCTCTTAAATATCTAATGATATTCAAATGGCCCCTGCTGGATGGTTTTGCAGGGCTATTTTGACATCGTATCCTGGTACACCGACCTGAGTAATCATGCTTGTATTAGGCACTAAACAAAAAAAGCCCTGTGGTTTCAGGCAAAAAATCCTCGCCCATGACCGGCCATCCCATTGAGCAAAGCCGGGTCAATTTTTTGGGTCAGGCTCAGACAGGGCCTTGGCGGGCTGTCCGTGGAGTTTACAATGTAAAATAGCTAAAAGAAATATTTGGGACCGAGAAAACAATTTTTTGGGTAGTGGGATTTGTGCCCGGACAGTGCTAGTGCCCAGACGTTCAGATGGACGCGAGCGCTGCACTCCCGTTTCCCACGCTCGAGCCGGCACGCCCCTACGACGAGCCTGCATTTCACGCGTCCACGTGGGGCCCACGCGCCAGACCGCGCGCAGGGACTGCTCATGCCCCCTCCGCTTCTCACGCGCATTGCAACATGTGCAACACCCGATCTGCTTTTGTAACATGCAGATGAAACACTTGCAACATATATCTGAAACACTTGCAAAACACCAGAAAAAACTTGAAAACACGTGTGTAGCCATTGCAAACATATGCAAACATCAAGATGAAACACTTGCAACATACATATAAAAACACTTGCATATATATGCAACATCCCGATCTAGTTTTGCAACATTCAAATGAAACACTTGCAACATACGTCTGAAACAGATGAAATATTTGGAACATACACTTGAAACATACGTATATAGTCCATTGCAACATGTGCAACATCCCAATCTTCTTCTACAACATCCTTATGAAACACTTGCAACATACCTCTAAAACATCTGAAACATTTGAAATGTACACTTGCAACATGCATCGTATCTCGGTGGGGCCTCCTCTCCCGTCTGCATCGGGACGCCGTAGCCGTAGAAGGAGGCGAGGCTGGAGGGCTCTCGCGCCGGGCCCAACGCTTCTCCTTGTTTAGCGGCCTCAGTGGCTAGCTGGCAGCCGAGGGAGCGGCCGCCACGCATGGGCGTGACAGTGCCCGCACCGTCAGGCAAAGTGGGCGGTAGAGCAGAAGCAGCGTTGGGAAGGAGCGGGGTGGCACGGTGGAGCAGGGGAAGGAGTAGCGCGGGGTGACCGTCGACGGCGAAGTCGGCCACAGAGCAGGAGCAGACGGGCGCGGCCGACGAAGCAGGAGCAGGCAGGGTCACCGTCGACGTGCGGAGGAGGTCTCCTTTCTTTATCCAACCGGTGCAACGGAAGAGTCGGACGCGGATACCGTAATAAAAAACGAACAAGCGCAGAGCAAAGATTTATTTGGCTGGTATACAGGCCTATGAAGGGGCGTCCGGAAGAACGAACGCCCTGTACATAGCATTTCCGTTTCTGGCCAAGCACTGTCCACTAAGGCGGTCGGGCTGGACCAAATTTGCTCTCTAGTAGACACATTTGCTCCCTCCATCTTCCTACTCTTTTCAGGCCTCACCACCCCATGAGTAGCACGTGACCTTCAATATCCTGCTCCACCTCACGGTAGCTCTGGATGGCATTGAGTTCATATACATCGCACCATGATCCTCGTCATACTATTCAGATTAAAAAGAAACCAAAAGTTGATCGATCTGCAAATAGGAATATATTTGCTTATATATACTTTCCGTTGAGTGCCAGCCAGGCGACCAGCACCTGCGTACAAGTATATATTACAGTGTAGAGAGTACAGGCTTGTCGTCATACAAAGCATCACAACTGTAATGCAAAGCATAAGCTTAATCTACTTCGGATGTTTAATGTTTTGGTAAAGGAAAAAAAGTATTAACAGTCTCCCCTAAATTAAGGCTCATCAACCCAAATAATATACTGCATGCAGCTGCTCCTAAACCAAACGCCGATTAGCAATGCTGCGACACACATGACACATCACTTCATATAAAATCTCCCTGCAGCTGAAAAAACAAGTCAAAATAATATTTCGACTAATTTATTGTGAGAGAAAAATATTGTTCCGACTGAAAAAATAAACTGAGAAAGACAGATTATAAGAGAAGCGAACATGGCATAAGCAGCTAGCTAGCACACGGAGGAGCAGGTCTGAACAATCATCGTGTCATCATCCTTTTCCCGGCCCAGTTCATACGTGCGCGCATCAGTGGCGAGCAGAAGGCGCGGGACACAAGCCAGAAAACTTGCGCTCACAACCGCCAGCAACTACAATAATCACGGTAGGTTTACGACCTAACCGACAGCCCTAATCATCGTGCTCTTGCATTGCGGCTCAGTTTTTTCTCCCATCTGTGGTTTCATTGCGCACGCTCTACTGCGAATGAATACTATTCTATCAGGCTGTTTCACCGTGTTTACGACCCGACAGTCCAAATGTAAGACCATGTAATTTACGATGGTCATCAAAAGAAGGTCATATTTGTCTAAACTGGATAAAGGATAGTGTAGAGCTGGCCTTCATATCATAGCAAGTATAATAGCAGGCTGTAAACCGCTGAATGTCGAGGTGGGGAGAAGAGAAGCGGGTTGTAAGCTTATAGCGGTTTTAGACACAAGAATCGAGAAACTTAGTGAGAGAAATAAGTAGGTCATGTATTAATGGTGAATAGCTAAGGACAGTCCCAATGGTGTATTGATGATGGTTTCTATCCTCATTAAATGACTTGCCACGTAGGCAAAATGCTGACATGGCAACGTAGTTAATGAAGAAAGAGAGCAAAAATCATAGAAATTGTTTCCTCATGAAGAAATCAGGTCTTCTCTTGACCTAATGCACTAAGAAACTATGAAATCGCCATTGGAGAGAAACCACTAGTTTCTAGGGGCTCGTGCCACACTCTTATTGGAGGAAGAAGATAGAGTTGGGAGAGAGAAAGAGAAAATAATTATTACTCATAGAAACCATGGGTTGGAAAGCAGTATTTTTTTTTGTGCGGTATCCTATGTTATAGACACTACTGGTTTTTTTTTAGGACTGTCCTAACTACTCCCTCCATCCCAAAAAACCTGACGTTTAGGACATGATTGTGCTTACCAAGGAGTCATTAATTAGGGTATAGTTTTCCCTATATGCCCCTATTAAATACTGTTGCGAGCGCTATCCATATGAGAAAGTTTCCTGGCTCATCCGGTTAGTGCGGTGTGGGTGAGCCCTGAGAGTCTCGAGGTCTTGAGGTCGAAACTCCGTGGACGCATTTTTTTTGCCCGTGGCTTCATTTTGCATGGGTTTGGGTGGGCGTGGCACGTGCGCTGCTGGCTCTCGCATGGCACTGGTGTCGGGTGGGAGCGCGCAGGTTTTTGCGCCCGTTCATTTTGTGCGTGGCCACGTAATTTTTCTCCCCGCGCTCCCAAGCATTCTAATTT